CAGTGCAGCATCAAGCGATAGGGCAGCAGCACTTCCGCATTGCCAGCACTGGCCAGAATGCCTGGCCTAGGCTGCCTCACTTCCTTAATCGAAGTGGCAGCCTCCTGGATGCTGCGTGTGGCCTGGCTGTAAGCTTCCAGTAGCTTCCGGTTGGGCCTCAGACCCTGCGCCCAGGCCCGAGACTACGGTTGAGGGCCTGGGCCCCATTTACAGTTGGGCACGGCCTGAGTCTCCGGACTTGGGCTGTTTGCTGCATCTGTGCAGGGCTCCCGGGTAGGTGCATCGACAGTACTGCTTTTGCGTAGGCCGACGGCCTGCTTCTCAATGTATCGGCCCTGCTTTGTGTGTATGTGCCCAGGCGCAACTGTCAAGGCCTGGGCCAACTGTACGACGCAGCTTAGTGAGGCTTGGGCGTCCATTCAACCAACTGGCGTGCTGCAAGAGCCTGAATACCCACATAGTGTCAAACTTTGGCCTCTGACGAATATTCAGGCCCGCCTTCACTTAGGGCGGGCACTAGGCTTGCTGGGGGCCTTAGCCCAGAACTTGTGATGTCTGATAGGGCCCCTTGAGGGCTAGTTCCTCACACATTTTGGGAAAGTGCCTAAAACATCTATTTTGTGTCAGGCACTTGGATGCTCCCCGTTTCTCACGGGGAGTCAGCCCAGAAACTGCCAGGATTCTCTCTTCCGTGGAAAAAAAGAAAAGCAAAGCAATGAAAACGTCATTGGCTTTAGGGTGAAACTGCATCCAGATGCATATGTCGAAGTGCTATCATGAAAATGCTCTGCCAACTGTACTTTTCCTTTCTTCTTTTTTTTTGTCCTTTTCCATTTCACGTCCTTGCAAGTTTCTTTTCTCTTTTTTTTTTTTATGGCATTGCACACAGCAACGTGCATGTTTCCACGTGCACGGATATCCAAGAGGACATACTGGAGTCCATTGGGCAGTTTTCCCTGGGCCCACCACCTTCCTCCCCCATATCGCTTCCAACCCTCCCCCGGGCCCCTAAGAATGCGGCTCGTTAATGTGGAAGGCCCGCGGCCGATGTATGGCCCAAGTACTGGTGATTTAAACTCTGTTCAATGTCGGATTTCATTCAACACGGTAGCCTTGAGCACCGGATAGAGTCCTTGCTAAAAATGGCATTCCTAGGCACAAGACGTGTCTATACCTCGCTCGACAAATATGAGTGTGAGAACTGTTAATACCCAACACCATAATTCTGAGCATAAAGCTCATTAGCAGTCTCTGAGCTCAAATAATGCGACTCTGCTCTGAGTGGTAATTATGAGTATGACATCTGACAATACTCAAAGTAGTTAGGTTGATTCAAGTAAGTTTAGCACATGATGACTTTGGACATCAGTTGTGTCCCGCAAAGAGAAGACCGTGTGTAGCTTCTCGCAAATCAATGGGATGTCCGCCAATTTGTACTTTGGTGGAGTGACATTTTTGTAATATAAAATAAAATCACGGGTAATTCCGCAATTTCGACCTTGGACGAAGGTACATGCTTGCAATTTCCAGCAATTAACAGGGGTATATTTGCAGTTCTCCCCCAGGCAACAGAATACCTCTGCAATACTAGAGAAAATTAGGGCATGCATGGAGCATGCGACTGTCTGCTTGAACGCACTTGTTAAATTTTACTGAGACTTATCCTAGCCTCATTACAGTGTGGCATCTCAAACGAACCCTGATCAGAAATAGCTCACGTCACAACAAAAGTGCGAGGCATAGGGCCTCGATATGCCCTACAGGGCCCAATTTTCACACAGTCGGCCGCCCTAAGTGAAGGCAGGCACGACCGAGGCCGTACAGGCCATTTCAGGGTCACCACGCAATTGGGGAAATTCAGGCAGTTGCGCAGTGCCAGTCGGTTGGAAGCAAGGCCCAGGCTGCCTTTCATTGCATGTAACGGAGGCAGGCCCTGGGCCGGATACACAAAGTGGAGCGAACAAAGGCTGAGGGCAGTTGGGTGCTGGTAACCGCCTCAGGCCTTGGGCCTGTTTCCTTCGGACTGAGGCTCAGCCTCCCTAGGCCTACCGGTAAGCTTCTGGGCCGGGGCCCAGTACCGCAGCACAGCACGCAGCAGCAGGCCACTTCGATATAGGGAAGGGCATGCCCAAGCATTGGACATTCGGGCAATGGCTGCTTTGTGCACAAGCGCTGCTGCGCTATCGCCTGCCAGGCTCACACGCTCACAGGCGAGCTCGAAGGAGCAGGCAGCCATAGCCAAGCTGCGCTGCTGTATGCTGGATGGGGCGCATGGTGGTCCTTGGGTGCATGTGGCATCTGTGAATTGAGGAACGAGGTTGTGAGTGATACGAGAGACATACCTGGTGTTTGACGCGTGCAGCATTGGCCGAGATCTGCTCGTACTTGGGAAGCTGTTGACATCATCAGCGGCATTGTAGTCTAGGTTAGATAGGATCTGCCATTCGTAGTCTGGGTGCCGAGCGCCAGATAGGATATCAACATTGGTTCTTCGTTGATGATGATGAGACTATTCCAGCATTGTCAATTATGAGCTTCTGGTGTGCTCTTATTTGGTGAAACTCGTGATGCAATTCTGCTTTTGGTTCGAGATCACGACTATCTGGTCTCATATGTACGATGCTGTTTGATTGCTGAAGTTCGCTATTGCTCATCTTCCTTGCAATTTGGTATCGGAGCTGTGGTTCGGTGCACTAATCTGGCGCTCATCTTCTGCCTAATGCGGTACATGCACGCGGTGTGTACGGTGAGCGACCGTGTCGTGGGGCGTGTGTAGTGAGGAGGGCGAAGATAAGTTGGCGACCCAGGTGGAGAGGGGTATCGCCAGGAAGGCTATGTGGTGTGATTATTGGGTGTTCGCAGTGTGATGAGAACTATCCGGTGTGTGATTGATGCTGAGGTGGAACGGTTGTGCAATGCTGGTTGTGCCGAAGCAGCGATTGGTCATCACAATCAACATCGGGTCATCTGGTGAGAATATTTGTGGTTGGGGGCAGCTATTTTGAGGTTCGTTGCACCTAACCTTATCTACCCTCTTCGACACTTGTTACCGTGAGGATGTGTGTTCTGTCTTGAGAGTCCTCTCGTGTGAGGAGTTGTGTGCGCTCAACCTTGAGAGTCATCAGCCTTCACGTGGAGCATCTGGAAGGAGAGGGCGGAGCTATCTGAAGGGCCCTGGACGAAGCACTGGGTCACGGTCACCATGCCAACCCACCGGGAGTAGAGCACGCATGCTTTGCTGCTTTGTCCTTTGTCTGCTCGCTGCGGTGTAGAGGGGTTCTGAAGGGCAGGCCAGCCCTAGGGGACAGACGAGACCGAGCGTCTATAAATAAGCAGCGGCGGGATACCTTCCATTGGCTGTGATCGTCGTCCTGTTTGCGACGTTCAAGAATTCCTGAGGACTTCGAGGCCGTCCATAAAAACGCCTCCTGATCAGCCAATTGGTCGGTGTAACTGTGCAGGGCTGGCCAGTTCAGCAGGACTTGGGGCACAGGGGTGGGCCGTGTGCACACCTTCAGACACGCACGCTATCTGGATTGCTCAGGGGCATTGACGACAAGAGGCATTCAAGAAGAATTGAGGGAGGGGTAGATTCCAGGTGATAAGTTTGGGAAATATTCCATTCTGCAAACAGACACAACAAACGATTCTACTTTTATTTTGATTAGTTAGATGTACAGCCATTGACATCTGACAGCCAACATAGTTTAAAACTGTTCTTTGTTCATTGTGCTTTTGTTTGCGAACTAGTCAAAGTCAAAGTAGTTTCGTTCGTAGGAATCTGAACTTACCTGTTGAACCCAAATGTATCTACTCTGACACAGCCACCAATTAATTAATTATTTATTTTTAGTTGGTTTGTGCACTATGCTGCGGTAGGCATCCAGAGTGTCCTAGTGCAGACTGTGTATAGTGCTGTAGCTTATGAGTGACAGGGAGGTCCCACAACCAGACGACCGGATCTTGCGATCGGCTAGACACCCGATAGCCCACTTGGCCTTAGGACCAGAGGGTGACAGATTTCTGTTCCGCCAGCTTAGGGAGAGGCAGCAGCAGTAGAGCAGAGCTACGGCAGCAGAGGCTAGCAGGGCGTTGGCAAGCGAAGCGAGTTGTTGATCGCGAGGCACAACTACAGCAGGCTTTAGGAGAGATTAAGGCAGAAAAAGAAAGGATGATTAGAAGAAGAGCCAGGTTGCAGCGCAGCCAAGCGGACATTAGTGAGTTAGAGGAGATGGACCCACAAGAGCTGGATGATAAAGTGAGGACCCTGAGGTCGGTCTTGCTAGGTGTAGTGGAGATGCAAGACCAGCAGACGGCGGTCTTACAAGACATCCAGCAGAGTCTGGCCGTCTTGGTCGGGCGAGCGCAGGCGGCACCATCACTGTCCGGGCCTGGTGTCCCGTTGTACATCCTCCACCTTTTGTCCCACCGGTGACTGGGGTATCCCCATATATTGCTCCAGCATCGGTATATCCCGTTTCCCTGGGTATGCCTTTAACAGGCGGGTTCTCAGCAGGTCCCAGTGTGCAGATTCCTGTACAGACAGTGTTCTCCCAACATCCGTCTCAGGTTGTCGTAAGCGGGCAGCCTGCACAGCTGCAAGGTTCACAGCCCCAGCAGATAGTGCAGCAAACCGCACCACATGGTCCACAGTCCGGAATGGTGCAGGTACACGGACAAAGTCAGTGGGTACCAAAGACGGGAGAAGACGGGAGAAGACCTCAACACTTGGTTGAGGGCAGTGCAGGTCTACGTCAAGCGCAAACTTACCTTGCCGCACAAGGAAGTGCTTGTGGCTGCCTCCTATTTAGAGGGGAGCGCAACACGATGGTTCAGTGCAGCTACAGGGGTACAGTCATGACTTTCACGCTCGGGCGGTCCCCCAGAAACTAGATGACTTTCTCAATTTGGTGGAAGACAGGTGGCATGATCCTCAGGAGGCCCAAAAGGCTACTGATGCGATCCTGACACTGCATACGAGGCAATTTAAGTCAGTAAGGGAGGCCACCGAAGTTGTAGAGCGTCTGATGTGTGTCCCTGGGGTGCGCTATGACCCCTAGGTCCTACTCACCTCCTACCTGAGATGCTTTCCAATGCATCTCAGGAATCAGTTGGCAGGTGAGGCCAACATCAATATGCACAACTTTCCCTCGTTTAGCAAGAAGGCCCTAGACCTTGAGGCAAAGATAGGGTATGGTCAGACACCCACGACGGATGGAAGGAGAAAGTCACGGCCTCCCAACTGGAAAGTGAAGGGACGCATCATGTTCCTCGACAACGATGGTTCCACCATCGAATTGGACGACGACTTCCAGTCGGGAGTGGGTTCAGAGGCCGGCAGCGTAGAAGCTTCAGGGGGTGGAGTAGTCGCTGCCGTAGCTCAAAAAGGTAAGGCAACCGGTAGACGCCATGGAGGTTCCCGGTCAAGGAGTCGAGTTGACCCCAATGCTCCCCCATGGGAGAAAGCGGGTCTCACTGAGGACGTGTGGAGAGACAGGTACACCAGGCAGGCCTGTATTCGTTGTGGGCAATATGGCCACAACCAATTCAAGTGTCGCAATAAGAAGGTGACCGAAAAGATCCCGCCTACGATGGGGCAGGCGTTGGGATCCTCCGCTCCGGTTGGTAGCAATGTGGCCAGCAGTTTTGGCACTGCTCCGGGAAACGCGTCGGGCCAGTAGGAATGGTAGCTGTTCCTGCTAGGGTCAAGGTGGTGGACACACCCTCACCATCTCGAGAGATGGCCCAAGCTACTGACTCCATAGTCGTCCCGCAAACACATTCTGACCAATCGAGCTTCTGTTCGATGAATGTGTTTGAATCCTTAGAGGAGCTAGAGGAGGAATGGCCTAGATCAGACCCACTAGCTTCTTGGACGGCATTCGCCAAAGCCCCTAGGGGAGAGATGTTCGTCGGCGAGGTAGTCATCAGCGGCCGCAAGGCCGGGGCCTATTATGACACTCGCTCGACAAGGAACTTTATTTGTCGTGCGTGCGTTGAGAGGCTGCGCTTACAGGGGCGAGTGCAGCGCCCGAGTCCACCTGTGGAGTCGACCTGTGCCAACAAATGGCGCATGGTAGTCAACGACTACCTCCAGGATGTTGAGTGTTGTTTCCCGTACGCGGGAGGGGAATTGAGACATCGCGTCTCGTTCCTAGTGAGCGATGATCTCCCTATGGATATCGTGTTAGGTACGCACTACCTCTCCGTGGCACAACCCCAGTTTGGCTGGGACGGAAAAGTGGTCAAACACACTTTGCCTGGTGGAGGGACCACCAGATTACATAACTTCAAAGCTTAGTCTGATTGAGTCCCATGGATGTATGTGTGCGGCCGCGGAACTCGTAGAAAAGGGTTGGATCCGGCCGAGTGTTTCTCCTTATGGGTCTCCAATCCTATTCGTACCGAAGAAGGAAGGAACACTTACGATGTGCATTGACTTAGGGGCCTCAATGCCATCATTGTCAAGAACAGAGAGCCCCTCCCGCGCATCGACGATTTGCTAGATAGACTGCACGAGTTTGTGGTGATGCCTTTCGGCCTTTGCAATGCTCAAGGCACCTTTCAGCATGCTATGAATCAGATATTTCATGACTACTTGGATAAATTTGTCATCATGTACCTCAATGACATACTTATTTTTAATAAGACTGTCGAGGAGCACGTTGCGCACTTGGACAAAGTCCTTCGTCTTCTTCGACAACACAAGTTCAAGATCAACGGTGAGAAGTGTGAGTTTGGCCGCACCCGTGTCTTGTACTTGTGTCATGAGATTTCCACGGAGGGATTGAAGCCCGATGACGCGAAGGTGGCCAACATTCGTGACTGGCCGCGTCCTCAATCTGTGACTGAGATAAGGTCCTTAGGGATGACAGGCTACTACCGCAATTTTGTTCATAAGTACAGCATAGTGGCCCCCCCTTTGACGGACCTAACTCGCCTTGACACCCCATGGGAGTGGACAGACAGGTGTGAGGCTGCTTTCAGACAACTGAAGCATGCGTTGACACACCATGAGGTCTTGAAACTTCCTGATCCTGTCAAACCTTTCGTAGTAACTACGGATGCTAGCCAATATGGCATAGGCGCCGTATTTGCGCAACAGGAGGGGAAGAAGTTGAGGCCGGTAGAGTGCATGTCCAAAAAGATGCCCTCTCAGAAGTTGGCTAAGTCCACCTATGAGACGGAACTCTATGCGATCTACAAGACGCTCACCCATTGGAGGCACTATCTTCTTGGGAGGTTCTTCTACGTCAGGACTGATCACCAGACCCTGAAGTGGATGAAAACCCAACCAGGGCTCTCCGACGCTCTGAAGCGTTGGATTGAAGTCATAGAGCAGTATGACTTTGAACCCCAGTACATCAAGGGCGAGTACAACAAGGTTGCTGATGCGTTGTCACGTAGACCAGATTTCTTCGGTGCGCTGATCACTGCGTTTGGGCTTGCGGACGATGTTACATGCTCTATGGTGGAAGCCTATCGCGAGGACCGGTTTATGTTTGAGATCATACGCAGACTCGAGGCGAAGGACAAAGTGACTTCTGCCGAGTTTGAGTTGGTCAACGGACTGCTGTTCCTTGAGAAGGCAGGGAATAAACGTCTGTGTGTGCCAGATAGGGAGTCTTTGTGTAGTTTATTTTTAGGCGAGTGTCATGATGCCACCGGACATTTTGGCTTTAAGAAGACTGCAGCCAATCTGCTACAGCGGCTCTGGTGGCCCACGATGATGAGAGCTGCCAAGTTGTATGTGGAGACTTGTCAGGTTTGCCAGAGAGACAAGCCCCGTACACAGGCCCCTCTTGGGCTCCTCAAGCCCCTTCCGATTCCGGAGAGGCCCGGTGAGACCTTGTCCATGGACTTCATGGACACGCTGGTCACCAGCAAGAGTGGAATGAGACACATCTTTGTTATCGTGGATAGGTTTAGTAAGTACGCTAGGTTAGTTGCAATGCCAGAGACAGCAAAGACCGTATATGTGATTAGACTCTTCAAAGAGAATTGGGTCCGAGACTTTGGGCTCCCAAAGTCTATTGTTAGTGACAGGGATGTCCGATTCACAAGTGAGTTGTGGAAGGCTGCAGCTGCAGAACAGGGAACACAGCTGCAGATGACTTTTGGGAACCATCCCGAGGCCAATGGCCAAGCAGAGCAGCTTAACTGCGATGTACAACACCTATTGCGGCATTACATCAAGCCCAATCAGGTGGATTGGGATGAGAAACTTGCTTTCATCGCCAGCTTGTATAACGATGCTATGCACAACGCAACTGGAGTAAGTCCTAACAGTCTGCTACTGACTTTCAAGCCTAGACTGCCCCTAGACTTTTTGTTACCTGACAATCAGTCAACTGCCGCACCCGGCACCCTTGAGTTTGCCTATCGCTATGAACAACTGATGCAACAGGTAGTAGAACAAATGCATAAGGCACAAGCGGCACTGATAGAATGTGAGAACAGACACCACCGCCCTTCTACATTTCAGGTAGCGGACAGAGTCTGGGTAAAATCCTCAGAACCGGGACAGGAGCACGGGATCTCCCATAAGCTCATGCCACAGTACTTCGGACCATGGGAGGTTCTAGATGTTGTTGGGGAAGATCCGGATGGGCCATCCGATGTTATCCGGATCCCTGGTCATCTCTGCACTTACCCTATCTTTCACGCCTCCAAGCTTGAGCCATTCATGGAAACTGACCAGTTTCCCTCTCGTCGCTCTATGCTGCCCCCAACCATGGATGGGAAGGTCGACGTCGACGACATTGTTGATCACAGGGAGATGCCAGTTCCAAGACCGACAGGCAGAGGACGTCCTCCGAAACCAAAGCTGTAGTACCGGGTTCGGTTCAGACATGACACTGATCGAAAGGAGGACAGATGGTTCACACAAGAGGAACTGATGCAGAGCGCTCCACACGTCGTCGCTCACTACGAGAAGTCTCTGCAGAAAGGAAAACGCCAGATTATTGAAGATTAAACTTCTCAGAGGACTATCGAAGTATGGAGGAGGGAATGCGAGGCATAGGGCCTCGATATGCCCTACAGGGCCCAATTTCACACAGTCGGCCGCCCTAAGTGAAGGCAGGAACGACCGAGGCCCTACATGCCATTTCAAGGTCACCGCGCAACTAGGGAAATTCAGGCAGTTGCACAACGCCAGTCGGTTGGAAGCACCCAGGCCCAGACTGCCTTTCATTGCATGTAACTGAGGCAGGCCCTGGGCCGGATACACAAAGTGGACCGAACAAAGGGTGAGGGCAGTTGGGTGCTGGTAACCACCTCAGGCCCTGGGCCTGTTTCCTTCGGACTGAGGCTCAGCCTCCCTGGGCCTACCGRAAGCTTYTSGGYCGRGGCCCAGTACCGCASCACAGCACGCAGCAGCAGGCCACTTCGATATAGGGAAGGGCCTGCCCACGCATTGGACATTCGGGCACTGGCTGCTTTGTGCGCAAGCGCTGCTGTGCTATCGCCTGCCAGGTTCACGCGCTCACGGGCGAGCTCGAAGGAGCAGGCAGCCATAGCCAAGCTGCGCTATTGTATGTTGGATGGGGCGCATGGTGGTCCATGGGTGCATGTGGCATCTAGGAGTTGGGGAATGAGGTTGTGAGTGATACGCGAGACGTACCTGGTGCTTGTTGCGTGCGGCATTGGCCGAGATCTGCTCGTACTTGGGAAGCTGTTGACATCATCAGCAACATTGTAGTCTAGGTTAGATAGGATCTGCCATTCGTAGTCTGGGTGTTGAGCGCTAGATAGGATATCAACATTGGTTCTTCGTTGATGATGATGAGACTATTCCAGCATCGTCAATTATGAGCTTTTGGCGTGCTCTTATTTGGTGAAACTCGTGATGCAATTCTGCTTTTGGTTCGAGGTCACGACTATTTGGTCTCATATATATGATGTTGTTTGATTGCTCAAGTTCGCTATTGCTCATCTTTGCAATCAGACTCGCTATCTTTCACACTTCATATGCATGCAAACAGGTGAGCAGCAAACTGGCGACAAGCGCCCGCTCAGAACTCAGAGATATAGTAACCAAAAACGCAGTTCGAATACAAGTTCACTTCAAATGGCTATGGCGGCACAACGCCTGTACAACTCTCTGTTCACACGCACACAGGATCACCCTCGATATCCCACACGCGACACTCTGAACACACATACACACACACACACTACACTCTCCTAACGGCTATAGCGACTAGGGCCACTGCTACCCTATCGCTATGGCTAAGCTCTTCCTCTCGCCCACTTCGTCTTCGAGCTCACTGCAGACCACCTCGCACAAGTGACTGTGGCAGCGCTTCCGCATGGCTTACGCAGGAATGAATGAATGGCTGGGCGCTGCCTCTTGATTTTTGCTTCTGTATCTCGTTGGTCTGCCCCTTTCCCATGCCCGTGGTGCACACAGTCCCATGCGGTACTTGCTTGACTGGACTAGGACTGACTGGGACTGGGACTGCTGACTCAGCACGGGTGGACTCCACCACTTGCCCACTTGCCTCAGCCTAAACATGAGCAGCTTCGAAAGGCCACTACTAGGACCTTCCGGAAGGCCGTGGACTTGGCCTTTCGATAGTGTAGCAGCTACGACCTTGACCCTTCAGGACTGTAGCAGCTACGACCTTGAACTTTCGGAGGAGCTACAGCTACGACTTCTAGACCTTGCTAAGACTCCTATCCGACAGGTCTACAGATCGAACCCCTATAACCTACAGACCTACGACGACCTACCAACTGGGGAAAGGACACAGGTCGTGGGTTCAACTCCTGGGGTCGACACAGATACTGTACAGAGGTAAGGTAAGTCTAGGGATCGAGCCCTGGGATCTGCATCGGCTACTGCGAACAAGTGAATACCGTTTCACTCCCGCCGGCCTAAATTGGAGGTCCTCCGAGAATAACTCAGTCCAAGGCAGGACCTTTACCTTTCTTATCTCTCTCGTAGGCCCTAACTATGTCGGGAGCTGTTTCTAGCAGTTTTGTTCTGGTAAACCAGCGAACGTCCTCCGGTTCCTGATAAGCGAACCGGACCTTATATTGCTTTTGTGGACGACCTCTACCTCCTGTTCTGAACACGTCTTCACCTACAATGCCGTCAATGTTGTATCTTCCGTCGATGTCCGGAGGGATCATGGACCTTCTAGATGGAAACTGTTGACTTGTCACACACGGCAACAAGTTTCATGCATGGAACACCGGGTAGGTGTGGAGGTGTGCTGGAATCTCTACTGTGTAGGACGACCCATCTTCTCCGCCCTTGACTTCTAGAACTGGCCATGGTCCCATGTACACTGGCAGTAACTTCTGCGAGATGTTTTCCTCAGGAGCAAACTCTTTGGACTTGACCCAGACTAAATCGCCTACTTGAAACTGCAATGGGCGGCGGTGCTTGTTGGCCTGCTCTATCATTCTATGTTGGGCCTTCCTGAGGTTCTCGACAACTCTAGCTAGCTCTTTCTCGTGATGTATTGCGAACTCCCTGGTACCGGGCGGTAGCCTGCGAATCTGGTCCCGGTTAAGTCCCTCAAACCGTCTGCATGACCTAAAGGACTTGTACAACTCGTTGGGAGTGCGACAGGTGGACACGTGCAAACTGTTATTGTACACATCCACCAACCAGCTAGTTCATACTATGATGGACAAGTTGGCGAATGTCTAATGGAAGCTCTTGAAACTGAGAGATTGTATAGCAAAAGTCTACATGAATAGAACAGGTCAACCAGGATGGGTTATATATCGTGATATGGATTGGGATATATTTATGTCTACCTTGGGCAACATCTCATCCCAATTGACTTGATCTGGTCTAATGTACATGCGCAGAACTTGCTGCAGGATCTTGTTCATCTGCTCAGTGGATGGTGGCCATATGACATTAACAAATCCGTAGACTTTCATTAGTTCCTGCCAGTTCTGGCTAGTGAATCGGGTATCTATCGCTAACTATAAATAGTGGAATCCCGTGATCACTAATCCAAAAATAAAAAAACTTCTGAATGACTAGTTCAGTGCGTGCCTCTGCAGGCAAAGGGACGAAAATAACATATTTACTAAATCTATCAACTATGACCATGACTTTGCTCTTACCATGCCTACTCTTGACGCCAGCGTACATAAAGTCAATAGACACTGAATCTTCGGGCTGATCAGGAACAGGCAAGGGTATGAGAAGTCCTAGAGGGGCATGCGTAGTAGTCTTGTTTCTCTGGCACACTTTGCAACTGCGGACATACTCTATGCAGTCAATTTTCATTCCTAGCCAGGTGTACGCATGCATCAAATTGGCTAGAGTCTTTTGCCAACTGAAATGTCCCTCTATGTCGTGGCATTCCCCTAGGACCAAACTACGGATCTCCTCACTGTTAGGAACGCACAGACGGTCTACTACATTGGTCTTCTCAAATAACAACCCCTCTGTAGTGCGGTAATCTGGTTCGGTCTCTGGGGCCTCCTTAACTCTCTTGAGGAGGTCACTATAAATAGGGTCCTGCGAATACGCCTCTCTAACTCTCTCCTGCAGGTCGCTCCCTATATCCAGATAGTGAACTATAACTCCAAAGTAGTTTGATCTCCTACTTAGAGCGTCCGCGAAGCTTGAGCTCAAAGTCATACTGGTCTTCAGTGGCCCACCCAGTCAACTTAGGTGTCATTTTGGCCTGTGTCTTCAGCCATCTAAGTGAATCGTGGTCTGAATACACCTCGAAGTGTGTCCCAAGCAGGTAATGCTTCCAGTGCTCTAAGGCCTGCCTGAGAGCGTAGAGTTTTCTCTCATATGTCGAGGTAGCTACCTTTTCTGATGGCATCCTTGCTGACATGAACTCTACGGGTATGTAGCCATTGCCGTCGTCCTGCTGTAACATGGCGCCTATACCATACTGACTCGCGTCCGTGGTGACGACAAATGGCAAGGACAGATCTGCTACTTTGAGGACATGATACTCTATCAACGCGTGCTTTAACTCTTTAGCGCAGACGTACAGTCTTTGTCCCACTGCCAGACTGCCTCTTTCTTGAGCAACCTGCGAAGGGGGGCGGCGATAGTTGAGAAGTTCCTTACGAACTTCCTATAATAATTAGCTAGGCCCAGGAATGACCGCAATTCAGTCAACGTGCGGGGCATTGGCCAATCTCTAATCGCCGCTATCTTACTGTCCTCAGGCTTGATGCCATCTCCGTCTAAGACGTGGCCCAAGTACAAGACTTGTGTCTTGGCCCACTCACACTTTTTCTCATTGATCTTGAAGTTAGCTTCTCTCATTTTCTCCAAGACTTGCCTCAAATGACCATGATGCTCTTGGAGGGTCCTACTGAACACTAATATATCATCTAAGTAGACTACAACAAATCTATCTAACCAAGGCCTAAACAAGTCGTTCATACAGCGCTGGAATGTGGCAGGCGCATTGGTTAGTCCAAAGGGCATCACTATAAACTCATAGTGCCCATGTCCGGAATGCAATCTTGTACTGGTCATCAGGATGGACCTCTATCTAATGATATCCGGACTTCACGTCGATCTTCGAAAAATATTTGCAACCCTGCACCCGATCTAAAAGATCGTCTATCCTGAGCAGTGGTTCAGCGTTCTTCACCGTGATCGCATTCAGACCCCTATGGTTTATACACATCCGTAACTCTCCTTCCTTTTTGGGGACAAATAAAACTGGTGCTCCAAAAGGAGACGAACTGGGCCTAATCCAACCTTTTTCGAGGAGCTCGTCTAACTGCTTGCGCAACTCCTCTAACTCCCTTGGGGACATCCTGTAGACTGCTCCCTTAGGAGTCCTACTGCTAGGCTCTATCTCTATACGATGCTGAATTGGCCGCTGCACTACTCCTGTCAGTGGCTCTGCTAAATCCTGAAACTCTTCCAGCAGCTTGGCAATAGCTGGGTCTATGAATGTGTCTTCCTTAGGCTCAATAACTGCCTCACATAGGCTACGAAGACCTGCTCCTCTAACTACTCCTTTTTCACTGATCGCGCGAACGTGGGAACGCTGAGACAGCAATGTGCCAGCGAGTTGTCTACTCCTGACACATGAAACAGGCGGGCCGTCTTGCCTGACGGACTAGGGAGCCTTCACTCATGCTCTCTCAAATGAGTGTGGCCCCTGCTGCCTCTCCCCAGTCCAAACCTAGGACTATGTCAAGAGGAAGGTCATCCTGTACGAGGAGAGTCAGGGAATGAAGAACCTTCTCCACAGGCAGGCATCCTCTCTTTTAACTCTTCTGCCATGCCTGCGAGGGAAGTGCCTAGAGAGACACTAACACAAGCAGTCTCTAGAAAGCTAGCTAGGCACCCGCCTCCAACCTCTATCGAAGGCTCATGTGATGTGGGAGTTTCCTGTTCACGTGGCCTAGTCATAGGGGCAGTTGCAACCCCTACTGGCGGCTGCCTTTTGACTCCTGGGCAGCCCATCGGGCCTCTCTGTACTTAGGGTAATATTTAATGATATGGGCCGGGTCACCGCAATATATGCATACGCTGCTGCCATACTCGCTGGTCCAGGCCCAAATCTTCCCATGGCCGGCCTTGTGGCCAACCTGGCTGCCAACCTCCTCTCCTCTGAGGTGATCCTCCACCTCGTCGCTGCGGGGACCGACTGGGACCTTCACGATTTGGCGGGGGACCTTGACCCCTACCTCCCTCTTGGCGGTTCCTTTGGCCGTGAACCCCCTGTGCACCCGGTCCTCGACCACCCGCCTTGGCCTCCTCTACCTTGTGGCCTCCCTCCAGCCGCGACAGCAGCATAGGTCCTCCCCTGGCCTACACTACTGTCCTCCTCCTCTGGCCCCCACTTGATCTGATCGTAGGGGACTTCGCCTGTACCACCTTCGTCTCAAGTAAGGATCAGATGATCCTTGGCCCTGACCCTGAGATGGTACGACCTTTCCACTTCTTTCCCTTTTTTAAGTCCTTATGCCAGAAAGTGGAAACTGGCATGGACTTCGCCTCAAACGAGACCACTTTTCTGCTCAATGCATCATACGTGATATTGGCCTGTTGAGTCTTGTCGAAGAAATGCCCTCGCAGGGGCTCTGCCATGGCACGATAAAATAGTTGGACCAACTGGGTCTTAGTGACCCCGTGGTCTGGGATGGCTACCAAGTCGTCCATGACAGCTTTGAGTGCTCGCACACTCTTCCACTGTCGCGAGTGGATGGTTTGAAGCTTCTCAGAGGCCCTGACGCCCCTTGTGACGTCAACGAACCTCTCTCGCAGGAGTTTCAGGAAAGTAGAAAGAGGGGTGAGCTTGGATTACGCAACCATATTGTGTTCGCAATCAGCTGCACGCACAGGGGACCTGGCGAAGCTGGCCGTTTCGTCCTTCAGTGCGTGGAAGGCTACGAGGACTTGTTCCTCGAGTGCGATATGCTGTAAATAGACATACGTATTAATGCTAGCCTCCCAGTTATCAAAGTTATCATCCTTTTTCCCGCGATACGAGTCAGGAAATTTGAGCTTAACAGGCTCTTTGAGGCGACGCGACTCGGCCTCTGCTGTGGCCACTACTTTGGGGCCTTCAATGGCGCCGGCACAAAACTTCTTTGCGCCTTCCTTCAACTTTCTAACTTCGGTCCCAACATGGGTTACCACGTCGCGCGTGAACTCTCTAAATCCAGACCAGATGGCATGAAGAGACATCTTGACCCTTATTGGCCTGATGTTCCTCAAGCCAGGCCGACTCAGAATCTCAAGATAACCCAAAATTTTGTCTAATTTGGCAGGGTCTCTTGTTGTGCTTGCACTTCCTGCCTACATGCCTGAATCTTCTCCACCTCTTTGGCCATCCGGTTGGCCTCCTCCCTCCTCCTTTTCTTTTCCCTTGCCAGACGCAACTTCCACTCCAACCTCTTCTCGTCTTCCATCGTCTAGCGTTCCAGGGGGTCCTCCTTAGATTCTAGCGCCCTGGCAAATGCTTCTCTCCCCTCCTGGGGCACGTACAACAGTGCCTCTTCGTCTTCTCCCAGCAATAAATTAGCCACCCACTCGCTAAATTTCTTCTCCATCCACTTGTCTTCTGCCTTCGTGCCATTACTTTCTCCCCTTTCTTCCCTACGCCTCCTTTCTAGGGGTTCTTCTACCTCTTCCTCCTCTGCTACTGCTTCTTCTTCGGCAGCCCTTCTTTTCTCTTCCTCCTCCTGCTGCAGCCTTCGCATCTTCTCCTACAACTTTTTCTTCTTCGCCGCCTGCTCATAGAATCCGAACAGGATCCTGTCAACTAGGGTCACTAGCCTAGACCTACTCTAAGGCTGTCACTACAGGACCTGTTGCTGATCAGGAGGCATTTAAGGAGATCCCTCATAACTCCTTAGGAATTCTTCAACGTCGCAGACAGGACTACGCGATCAGCAGGTCCTCTCAAAACTTAGACGGCCTGTTGTGCAGCCCACAAGTCGGATTTTGGGCCTACCGTGCCACACTGAGCAGCCTGCCGGTCAGTACTGGTCCTTGGGAGGGTTCGTGTCCTCCAGGACAATCAAGTCATCAGACACAATCTTTAGCCCTAGTCAGCCCGTGTGGGTTTGGTCAACAACGCCCTATCCTTCATCCACAGAGTCCTATCACCTGGACAGAAGAGACTCGATGCAAAAAGAGAGACGCACAGACTTGACTCA